AGTTCCAGCAGCTACTCGGAAGGCTGAGGCGGAAGGATCGCCGGAGCCCAGCAGGTCGAGGCTGCGGTGGCCGGGAGCGGCCACTGCACTCCAGTCTGGGTGACACAGTGAGACTCCAACTCAGAAAAAAAAAGTGTAACATCCTTAGCAATTAGGAAGATGCAAATTCCAACCACCGTGAGATACAACTTCACATCCAATGGCATGGCTATGATAAGTGTTGGCCAGGATGAATGTAACATAGTGCATTGGAAACAGGCTGGCAATTCCTCAAAAAAATTGAACGAAGTTACTGTACGACTCAGCAATTCCACTAATAGGTATATACAAAAGAGAATTGAAAATATGTGTTAAGCCGGGCTCAGTGGTTCAGCCTGTCATCCCGCGCCTTTGGGAGGCTGAGGTGAGCGGACTGCCTGAACCCGCGGGTTCGAGACCCGCCTGGGCAGCAAGACCTCATCTCTACAATAAATCAAAAAAAAAAAAATCAACCGGGCGTGGTAGCGCATGCCTGTAATTCCAGCTACTTGGAAGGCTGAGGTGGAAGGATCGCCGGAGCCCAGCAGGTCGAGGCTGTGGTGGCGGGGAGTGGCCACTGCACTCCAGTCTGGGCGACAGAGTGAGTGAGACTCCAAATCCAAAAAGAAAAGAAAATATGTGTTAACACACCAATGTGTACTCTAATGTTCACAACAGCATTATTCATAGTACCCAAAAAGAAGCAATCCAAACAAAATTTAGCATACTATAAAATGAATACTTATACAGCAATAGAAAAGGAATAAAGTACTGGCATATGCTACAACATGAATGAACTTTAATAATGTTATGTGACAGAAGCAAGATACAAAAGACCACAATTTATATGATCCTATTGATATAAAATATCCAGAATAGGCAAATCCATAGGGATAGAAAGTGGATTCGTGGTTTTGAGATGCTCAGGTAGAGGAAAAATAGGGAGTGACTGCTAATCAGTTTGTGTGTGAGGTTTATTCTTGAAGTCATTAAAATGTTCTGGAATTAAGCCAGGTATGGTAGCATGAGCCTGTAGTCCCAACTACTTGGGAAGCTGAGTCAGAAGGATCACTTGAGCCCAGGAGTTCAAGGCCAGTCTGGACAACATAGCAAGACCCTGACTCAAAAAAAAAAATGTCTGTAATTAGATATAGGTGAAAATATTAAATACCACTGAACTGTATACTTTAAAAGAGTAAATGTCTATGATTTGTAAGTTATCTTTTTAAAAACCCACGTGCAGGAATCAGGGCAGTTATTATGTGCATGTCCATTTATAGATGAAGAAAAAGAAGAAAAGCTTAAGGAGTTAACCCTTCTAGACCAGTATATAATGGAATCAGGATTCAAAATCTGGTCTTCTGATTCTTTTTTTTTCTTTATTTTTATTTACTTTTTACTTTTTTCTAGAGATAGGAATCTCACTATGTTGTCCAGGCTTGTCTCAAACTTCTGATCTCAGATGTTCCTCCCACCCTGGCCTTTCGAAATGCTAGAATTAAAGGTGTAAGCCATGGCACCCAGTCTTCTGATTCTCTTGGAAGTTCTTCTGTGCCAAATTTTAGACTTTTCACAGTATAACTGATTCAGTATTTCTCTCATATCATTTTATCACATGTCCTTGGCTCAATCCAACAGAAGTCATCCATATTTGCCCTATGTGTCTGCCGTAAAGGATAACTGCACTTTGTTTTTGTTTTTGTTTGAGTTGGAATCTCACTCTGTCATCCAGATTGGAGTGCAGTGGCTGCTCCCGGACACTGCAGCCTTGACCTGCTGGGTTCCCGCAATTCTTCTGTCTCAGCCTTCCAAATAGCTGGAACTACAGGAACATGCTACCACGCCCGGCTAATTTTTTGATGTATTGTAGAGATGAGGTCTCGCCAAGTTGCCCAGGTGGGTCTCGAACCTGCGGGCTCAGGCAATCCACTCACCACAGCCTCCCAAAGTGCTGGGATTACAGGCTGAGCCACCGAGCTCGGCTTTGTTGCATAGTATTAATAAAACACTATCACACAGGTAAGTAGTGCAAACAGTATCTGAATTCAAACAGCTCAACTTGTAGTCATGGAGTACATATGTTTCACTTAAACTGAGCAAAAAAATTTTAAGAGGATCAGAAAATACCTGTTTGAAAGCTGAATCACTAAGAAGATCTAAACTTTGCTCTCATTCCTTATGATAGATTCCAGAGAGCCGGTGCTCAGGTCTTTTTTTTTTTGAGGCAGAGTCTCACTTTGCCACCCAGGTGGGTGTGCAATGGCAGCTCACAGTCACTGTAGCCTTTACCTACTAGGCTCAGGCGATCTTTGCATTTCCATCTTTCAAGTAGCTGGGACTACAGGCACACATCACACCCAGCTAATTTTTATTTTTATTTTTTTAGGTCTTGCCAAGGTGCCCAAGCTGGTCTCAAACCCATGGGCTCTGGCAATCCTCTTGCCTCCGCCTCCTTAAGTGCTAGGCTTACAGGCGTAAGCCATAGAGCCCGGTCCCAAATCTTAAACTAAGCCCTAAAACTATTTGGCATCTAACTCAACTCCATAAACTTATGCTGCTGTGGGGTATTCTCACGTGCAATTTTAAGTGTGCTGGCAGGTGCAGATCTTCATTTTCTTTTGCAAAGGTCAAAGCAGTACCATGTTCTCTAATCAATACTAAATATGTACAATGTTAAAATACACACAGAGGAAAACCTGAATCTGAACTAACTGTAGAGGCTAGTTCTTTTTTTTTAAAGCAAAAACACATCAACCAATCCAGCAAACAAACAAAATCAGCTTAAAAATATATTAGACACAAGAAGACATGGAGGAAACTCAAATGCATATGCAAAGTGAAAGACACCCATCTGAAAAGAGTGCATGCTATATAATTCCAACTTTCTGGAAAAGGCAAAATTACGAAGGCAATAAAAATACAGGTGAAAGTCGGGCTGAGTGGCTCAGCCTGTAATCCCAGCGCTTTGGGAGGCTGAGGTGAGTGGACTGCCTGAGCCTGTGGGTTCGAGACCTGCCTGGGAATCTTGGTGAGACCTCATCTCTACAACAAATCAAAAAATTGGCCAGGCGTGGTAGTGCACACGCGTAATTCCAGCTACTTGGAAAGCTGCGGTAGAAGGATCACCAGAGCCCAGCAGGTCGAGGCTGCAGTGGCCAGGAGTGGCCACTGCACT